CAAAAATACAGCTCTGAGGCTGTAGGCACAGGAGTGCCTAGGCACGTTCACATATCAGGAAGTGTTCTTCTAATTTTCAGGAGGAATTCAAGACAAACATACAGTTTTCAGGGTGCTGCTTAGACACAATTAACATTTCTCTGCATTTCCTACAACATAGTAAATCTTCACTTTTTGAGTTTAAGTCCACTTGTCTGAACAGATCTGCCATTAGAATCAATACATTAAGACAAATCTTGTTATAAGCAAGAAAAATTCTGTATGTAACAGATGCAGAGAAGCAAATAAGGCAGATGGTAGTAATTTCCCTGCATAAAATCACTTTGATCCAGTCCAGACAAACACTGCCTATACATCAGTTTATTCTTAAACTGTATAAATTAAGGAAGTCAATCATGAGAATTTCTATTTTTTTCCTCTGCAGGCGTCTGGAAAAAGCCTTTCCTTTCTTAATGGTGTTGTTATAGTTGTACCATCTGCTCATGTAGTCTGTGAGAGGAAATGATCACAGGAAGATACTTTGAAAGTGATACGAGTGTCTGAAGGAGAGATGGCCCGGCTAAGTTTGTCCACCGTAAGCTTTGTAGTTCCATTACACGCGGCGATATGTGGCCAGCAGGCCGGAAGCAGTAAGTGGAGGCAGCTTCTGAGGCTGATTCTGGATGTTCCACGCTGGTGCCAGGCTTCTGCCTTGAAAACTTAGCAGGTTGGTATGAAATGGCTGTGAACAACTTGATCGCCAAGTCTTTGATAATAAAACCTTTAACTTAATAAAGTCAAGAATCTTTGTAATGAGAGAAGTTACATTAGAAATGGAACTTTTCACGACATCAGTTTGGATTGAAATTGCTGAAGTGTTGTAAATATTTGCCAAAGAGCCAAAAGTTGGCTTATTTCATCATTCACGTAGACTAAAATGACCTAAGACATAGTTCTAAAATTGGAGACTGTCCCTGCAAATAACATACAAATAAGTATGCCTTTTTCTGCTTTTCTCTCCAGAAAGTCAGGGCAATCTTAGTTAAGGCATAATCCAGGGTCATCACCTACTTCCTGGGCTAAAGTGTTGGCTCAAAGATGATACCATCATGTAAATCATGGTGCCTGTGCAGTTCTTGGCTGTGGCTGACATCACCTCAGCTTAGGTAACTTCAAAGATGACTTTTTTCTGGTAGAGTCTTGTGGTCTGTTGTGATATGCCAGGAATGTATGCATGCAGACTGGATGGGGATTGGGGCTGATCTGAAGTGCATGTATTGGGGCTGATCTGAAGTGCATGTATTGGGTCTGATCTGAAGTGCATGTATTGGGGCTGATCTGAAGTGCATGTATTGGGGCAGATCTGACGTTTATGCATTGGGGCAGATCTGACATTTATGCATTGGGGCTGATCTGAGGTCTGACGTTTATGCATTGGGGCTAATATGAGGTCTGACGTTTATGAATGTGTACACAAGTTAATTTTTGCACTCATGGTTGTACTGCTAATGACAAGTTAAACTCATTTTTAACAGGCGTGTGGAGATTTTTTTTTTTTTAAATTTCTGCCTTGAAAACTTAGCAGGTTGGTATGAAATGGCTGTGAACAACTTGATCGCCAAGTCTTTGATAATAAAACCTTTAACTTAATAAAGTCAAGAATCTTTGTAATGAGAGAAGTTACATTAGAAATGGAACTTTTCACGACATCAGTTTGGATTGAAATTGCTGAAGTGTTGTAAATATTTGCCAAAGAGCCAAAAGTTGGCTTATTTCATCATTCACGTAGACTAAAATGACCTAAGACATAGTTCTAAAATTGGAGACTGTCCCTGCAAATAACATACAAATAAGTATGCCTTTTTCTGCTTTTCTCTCCAGAAAGTCAGGGCAATCTTAGTTAAGGCATAATCCAGGGTCATCACCTACTTCCTGGGCTAAAGTGTTGGCTCAAAGATGATACCATCATGTAAATCATGGTGCCTGTGCAGTTCTTGGCTGTGGCTGACATCACCTCAGCTTAGGTAACTTCAAAGATGACTTTTTTCTGGTAGAGTCTTGTGGTCTGTTGTGATATGCCAGGAATGTATGCATGCAGACTGGATGGGGATTGGGGCTGATCTGAAGTGCATGTATTGGGGCTGATCTGAAGTGCATGTATTGGGTCTGATCTGAAGTGCATGTATTGGGGCTGATCTGAAGTGCATGTATTGGGGCAGATCTGACGTTTATGCATTGGGGCAGATCTGACATTTATGCATTGGGGCTGATCTGAGGTCTGACGTTTATGCATTGGGGCTAATATGAGGTCTGACGTTTATGAATGTGTACACAAGTTAATTTTTGCACTCATGGTTGTACTGCTAATGACAAGTTAAACTCATTTTTAACAGGCGTGTGGAGATTTTTTTTTTTTTAAAAAAACTACCTGTCCAAGGACTAAAGTGGGGGCCCAATCTACTTGTTGCGAAACCAAAAATTATTTTAACCAATATGGTATTTAACCATGCTAAGTGCTTCTTATTGGTCAGCGCAGTCAGGTGACTGTGCTGACCAATGAGTGCTTGCAATTTGTGGGAGAAACTAAAAATCCATAGCGGATGGCAGTACGGGGTACGGACAGTACACTCGTATTGGTGGAGGGGAAAAAGGTAAGTAAGTATAACGGGGGGAGCTAGATTTCAGCAGGCATTTCCATTTTCCCAAATTACTTTGAAAGGGACGTTAGCCTTCAATGCACATTGTGCGTGTTAGAGAGCGATGCTGACCGGCTACCACAATATGGCACAGTGGAATGGGGGCAGCACTCAGCGCGCACACACACACACACACACAATGCCAATTTACATGCTGATGGCTGGGTTGATTTTAATTTTTAATTGTTTTACTTAATCATTTTGTTATTAATTTTCTTTCACTTAAACTTTATTGCTATCACACAGGGGGTAAGAAGCCCTTATGTGATAACGTTTGGAGGCGACAAGTTCTCTTTATTGAGCCTGCCCTCCAATACAGAAGATCGAGCACAGTATCGTGCTTGATTTCTTGTGCAGCCCAGCTTGTGATAGCTGAGACAGGAAGTACTGCGAGTACAGCGCTCCGGTCTGATCTCACAGAGGAGATCGAAGAATGGACGTTCTCCAGTCTGCTCCCGCTCTCCATCCTGAAGTAATTAGCTGTAGTCCTGGATCTCCCAGAAGAGCAGGGGACCCCATAAACCACAGCGGAGAAGTGGGGCGGGTGAACAAGCAGGCTGCTACAAGTGATCTGGGCGGCTCTACAGCTACAAGTGGCAACTCCCCTGCTCTACATTTAACCGTGATTGCCCATAGCAGGGCTAAGTTTAGAACAAAAAAGCCTTCATGTCTCGTGCATCGGGCAATAGGAATTGCACATCCCTGATTATATAATAATAATAAAGGAATTTAAATTGCTATTAGCAGTACAACTATGTATAGCTTACTCGATTTATATACCTGTTAATGTATTTAAGTGGAATGCAGCATAGGACTGTTATACATGTCTTTGTACTCATTGTCTGTTCTATCTGAAAATTCAAAATAAAGAATTTAAAAAAAAGATTTTATTATCCTTCAAAATATAATTTGTTGGCAAAAACTGAGTTTCTGTGAGATGTCTATAAGGAGCCAAAAACTAAGCCATTAGAGGTAGGGATTAAAAAAACAATGACAAATAGAAGCTTTTCATCACTAAATATCTCTTTTATGTAGAAAAATACCTTCTCTATATCATCTGTATGTTTATGTTTGCATATTGAACAATATTGATAAGAATGTTATTGTGACCCAGTTAAAATAACTCGCACATCTTGGTGAACTAACCTTATTGTACGCTATGGAGAGAGAACTCTTTGACAGGGCAATGTAAACATACAAAAGCTGTAGGCAGTGGTAACCTTCACTAATAAACTCCTCCTGCCATCTAGTGGCCAGTCTCCATATTGCAGCTCTAATGTAAAGTGACACAAACAGCTGCATTTCAGTTGATGATACTACGGCATTAGGTAGGAATAAACACTCCCGATCAGCACTTTGGCACTCCACAAGTTGAGATGTAAAAGTAAAGAAGTGTATTTAAAATGCATATTTACATTTTGTCGATGAGTGGTGTCCCTAAAGAAGTGCTTTTGGCGGCACAAACCCGGGCAGCATATAAGCTGTTCTGCTTTACTTTACAAAAATGGATATGCTTTTTTTTTTTTTTTTTACAAAACAGCATCTTTGGAAGGATGACTGCTGGAGGCTACACTAAGGCTGGGTCACACCTAGGCTACAGCGTTTCTGCACGCGTTTTATGCGCATAAATCAGAGTGTGCATTTTTGTGAGCAGTTTGCAGCTCATTGAAGTTAATGAGCAAATGCGCATATAAATGCGCGAAAAACACAGGAAACGTGCATTAAAAGCATTTCCTATTGAGTCTACGGGGCCAAAACGAGTTGTCCTATGCCAAAAAAAAGCTCATGTACGGTTTCCAGCGACAGGCGTTTTGCTTATTGTGTAATAATAAAAACCCCTCAGATGTGAACAGGGCCATAGAAATGAATAGGATGTTTTTGGTACATATTTTTCTGCATTTTCTGGGGCAGGAAAAGCGCTACAAAACGCTCAGTGTGAACCAAGTCTAAATGTTAGTTGTCTGCAAATAGTGGCCGTTGACATCATTCCTATCGATCTTAGTACTGCTTTCTTTTCAAAGGACAACATGAGAACTGCCACTGTTTGCTTTGGGTCACTACCTGGAACAAGTAAGCAGAATGGGAGTCCATACTTTTCAAGCTGGGTTGGCTGCATGCTTGTTTCTCGTCCATGAATGACTGGGCCTAAAGCCAAAGTGCAAAAGACCAGACAACCTTTAAAAGGTAAGTCAGTAATCGCTGCTTTACTACAGGTTCACTTTCTGGCTCATCTTACCATGAGAGAGGTCTGCTGCTAGGAAAACATCCTAATGTTCGGGACACAGTGTGTTCCCCTAGCAGAAAAAGGTCCAGAGAAACATCAACTCTATAGAATATTTTATTTATATACACATCAGACTTTACACACCATATGAAGAACAGCTGGCATGAACGCAGTCATTTACTCAGAAATGGGCAGCAGAGGACATTAATAGTTCACAGGTGTGGCTGGCTTTGTCACGTCCAAATCAGCATCCAACCAACGGTATTTACGATGACGGCGTAGGACCTCAATGGCTTTCTGCTCGAGTGGAGTGGGGAAGATATCGAGATCTTCCAGGCCCGGGAGATCAGGGAATTTCTTGTCTGTAGTGTGGAACTAAATAGAAATGAATAAGGATTGTGTTATACTACTTAATTCCTGTGAATACCTGTGTAGGGACAAAGGTTTGAGACATCTGTAACCCAGTGCCTAGAACAAGTTAGAGGAAGAGGAGGAGCACCCATATTTATTTGTAGACCTCTGCAGCCTTAACCTGGGTAATTCCAGCAGCAGAGTTGGGGGGAAGGAAACTATCATTTCATGGCTCTCATACAAACAAAATGGGCACTTTGTTTTATTTCCCCATTTCCATCTCAGGCCACGGCTACCTGAGAATCCCCAGCAGCTGCATGGAGGGAAATTGATACGTTTTTTTTGTATTCATATTGTAAAGGGAAATTATAAGTTTGTCTGCTCCACCTCCTGATATACCATACAATTCAATGAAATCTCTACAGAATAGGACTGAATCCAAAAGCTATCCTAGTGTAAAAACTTTGAGTAATTATAACACCATACCATAAAATATAGTCACATAATCCTGTATAGAATAAAGCACTGGTCAGTCACAAAGGCTCAGGCTTGAACATCGGTTACAACAGCTAGCAACAGTGATTTTGGTTCATTAATTGTGTATCTGTGAAAATATTTATTAAGTTTTGGATAGAATTGAGAGGGGTTAGACCCTCCATCCCCTCCCCTGTCAAGTACAGTGGTACCTCGGTTCACGAACTTAATTCGTTCCACGATTCTGGTCGCGAAACAAATCAAACTGTGATCAGATCGCAACCTCGAATAGCGGATGACACGACCACGTGTCATAGCAGGGAAGATGGCTGCGGTTGTGTCCTCACCCGATACGGGGTTCGCGAACGGAAGCAAAATTTTGCCGAACTTGCTGTTCGGGAACTGAAGCATTCCGTGAGCCGAGGTACCACTGTATATATTACCGAGTTCCCATTGAAAATACTCACCACTGTTTGTCCTGATGGCTAATGTCACCGAGACAGAAAGTGAGGAGAAATCCAAAACTTTGGAGTCATCCCCCAAAAAAAGAGGTGAGGAGACACCTGTTCCAGGGACAAGGACAACTAAGATGGGAGGTCCCCCAACTTTGGGAGATTTCCTCTAACTTTACTTGAGGACCTGCATCTCTGGAACAGGAAGTGTTGGGAAATTTCCCCAATGGTACACAAACAGCAAAAAATGAACTTGTAGGGGCTTTAACCTTTCCCGATCCTATACAAAAAAAAAAGTTTTGGCAATAAATGCACTTTAAGTTACACTGCAGATAACAGGCTTGTTCCGTGATCTCAAAATTACAGGAGCTACAACAAAGTTGTAGGATTCAGGGAACATTATTTTCTTACTTGGAATTTTGATTTTTCATGTTTAACCTTTAGTTAGTCTCCCCCCCTCAGGGATATTACACCCACGAGTTTCCTCACTGGTGCCAACATCTTTGCCTGGTCTTCTTTTGGTTCAGGACCTTTAGCCATCTTGATTGGCTGTGTTGGGACACTATAACTCCTATGCATGTGCGGGAGTTAATTCATTTTGGCATAAGCTCAAATTGTAGCCTGAACTGTGCATGTGCAGCTCAGTGCACATTGTCAGGAAGATTGCGAGGAGGCAGAAGGAACCCTTTATTGAGGAAGAGACATAGCATGTAAATTGTGAGTGTGTGTATGAAAGGGGGGTGTAAAGTTCTACTTTCATTATTTAATGACGGTTAACGTTTTTGCATTTTTCTTAATTTCAGGTTTGTTTTTTTTCTTAGCTTTGCATTTAAAGAAACATACACAAAATCAGAAAGGAAAAAAAAAAAAAAAAAGTTTCAAAGAAAAGTTAAATGTAGTTGGTACTCACCCGATCCACTTTGTCCCTTGATGTCCACTTGTCAAATGGATTCAGTTCAAAGCCCTTTATAAGCCAGCTAGACAAAATGAGCAAGAATCACAATGTTAAATAGTTAAAAACAAACAACTGTCTCTACAATTAAAATTCAAAGGATGGCAGTTTCCAAGTATAGAAGACTTCATTAACTTTAAATTCTGCTGTAAGTTTTTCTGCCTAAGCCTGTGGTTGTCAAGAATACATCATAATAGAGGAAAACAAAAATTACAAGGGACAGCCACCAGCCTTAAATTGGTGCATACACTGCACAAAAGATTAATATAAAGCCACCAGTATATGCACTGCTGTGTAATGAATGCAATAACACCAGGAAAGTTTCTGAAAATGTGTGTACTTACTAGTAGACAGGGCGAGGCAACGGATACGCGAAAAAAGGTCTGTGAGCAACGGCAAATATATATCGTACCATGTCTTGCAGGAGATATCGGTTAGGTCTAAAGAGAAGAAAATGGGAGGACTGTTAGAAGATGGGACACAAGCCGCAACTAAAAGAGTGCCAATCCCTCATCAATAGACAAAATGTTTCTCTTTCCTTTTATGTACACACCTATGCAGAAGGCAACATGCTAAAACACAGAACAATGTTCCACCAGATGGTTCTTAAAACATTCAAGACCCCCAAAGCCAAAAGCTGTATCAAAAGACATGGGTTACTGAAGGCACAATGATTTAAGAATTTTGTCTTCGTCTGGTGATGGTTCTGTAACCTGTAAGCTTTAAGGGTTATACTCATACCTGCAAATAGATGCTAACGATCTGGGTGTACATGAAGGGTCTACCATTTACTCTCCTAGATTGTGACTTTTACTCTAACGTAGCCACATAACTATGAAAATTTACCTCAAGTATACTTTAAATGACAGACCGAGTAGTGGTTCTGTCCAGACCACGATCGCCGACCTGTGCTGGGTTATGGCTGACTGATTGGACACACCGGCCCCCAAGGCACTTTCCACTGTCAGCCATAACCATTCAAGGGACACCCCTTCCCTGATCTGCTCTGTAATCACTGAAGCATGAAGCACTGCGCTCTCAGCGCTTCCTGCTCAAGCTGTCAGAAGCCAGCTGAAGTGCCTAGTAAACAGAAGATGAAGCACATCCTTGTGCTTCATCGTCGGTGTTGGAGGGCACGAGAGACATCAGGGGGTCTAATAGACTTTTAACAAAAAAAATAAACAGTGCAATGCGCCGCCATCAGCACTGCGCTTGGGAACACACTAGCAGCTATGCGTTGCAGTGCAGCTGCTAGTGTGAATGCAGTCTAAATGGTGGACCGCGATACGGACACTAACTGAGTGACCGTTCTGTCCACACTGTGATTCGGACCTAGGCTGGATGGAATTGTTATTCACTCAGAGCCTTCTTGAATTTTAATTCTCTACCACTGACTAAATGTTTCTACATATTGCTAAAAACTCCAATAATGTTTTAAATGATAAATCTAGAAGAGCAGATTGTGTATAAGAATTGTTTGTCCTTATTCAATAAAGAGTTCCGTTCCCTATGACAACCAGTATCCAACAAAGTGAATTCTGTTACTGCACCTAAGCAGCCCTTAAAGAAATGTGTACCGATATTCCTTTGGACCTTTCATGCATTTATAGACATCCTCACCTACCTTCTAGAGCTCTAGGAACATGAACGCACCACTATACACATTCTAACATCTAAGAAGTCATTAATTATAGCTGTTCCCCTTCCATATGCCTATTAGCGCAACACAGTGACAAACAACGCCACTAGCAAATACTGAGGTGTATTTTCTGCTTCTCTCTCATTTCAGCAGAAATTGATAATTGTTTATTCAAGCTGTAGTAATATTCAAGCAGTGTAATATTTCAGCTCCATGGTTGCCATCCAAGCTGGAATTCTCACATCTGCCTTTGTTCATCTCCATTACATTGGGGCTGATCGGATTAGTAGTTTACAGATGGAAGATAACATTGTTTTTACTTTCTGTTAAGCCCACAGCATGTGACAAGGACACTGCATTTCTGTCAAGGTCAGCAGGCATTTTCTCTACTGGCTAAAAATGATTCTTAGCCTGAAAAATTAAAACTAATGTGGCCACCACATCTAAGAAATGATGAGCTGCAATATAAAAATCTGCAAAAGGGCCACAGACAGCATTTTGGACAGGGGTTCTGGCATGCCCCCACTTTACTACTGAAACATTAAATTTATTTTCCTGCCTGTGTAGCTTTTGGAGATTTATCCTCTTTTTCTGTCTGGTGAAAATGTTCCCGAAGACAGAAAGTGAGTGGAAACAGACCCACAGATAGCAGTAAAAAAAAAAAGCAAAAAAAAAAGGTTTTGGCTGGACATACACTGGAACAGAGCTGGGGGGTAAAATGCAAAGAGGAAATGTGTCATTCTCAAAATTTGCCTCAATGTGTCTTTTGCCTCTCTGACTAGCCAAACAAGTCAAATCAAAACAAAGCGAGTCGTTAGTTTGTGTTCTGTATCACATAAAAGGATTGAGACACCATGGGGAGGGTATCTGGGGCAAAAATTGAAGCTGGCACTTATCGCTGCAATACTCCATAAGAGTTGTCAGATGCAGACAGGTCTTTCACACGTAGGCATCCAAGACTTAATATTAGGTGGAGTGACTAAGGCCAGCCACAAACAAAAAGCACATTAGCACCAAGGACAATACTTATGTAGAAGATACTGAAGCAGAGAACAATAACATATCTTACCCAGCAAGGGCATAGGTCTTTCCCACCGAGTCGGGGTCTTTGGTGATATTCACAATAGCTCTGGCAACATCGGATACCTAAAATAGTATAACAGAATCATGGCACATTTTGTAAAGAAAGCATTATCAAACATGTTATATAGTGGGATGATTTCTTTAAAAAGAAACAAAAAATCTGATTGTACGCCCTGAAAAACGTCACAGCATTTGCACAAAGGGATAAAACGAGACAAAAAGATACCAACCAGGATAGAACCCAAAAGTGGAATGTACTGGAATGGTTTTTAATATCCATTCAGCCTCTATTAGTGACCCCGACCCCCCCCCCCCCCCCCCCCCCCGCAGCCATGGAGAGGGGGACCCCTTTGTAACTCTCAGGCACTAACGCACCGGCTGGGAAATCAAGAACTAAAGCTGGCCACACATGTAACAATCTTGTCGTACTATATCCTTTAGCTATTACCAGCTATGTAGTGCAAAATGATGACCTAAATGTATATCTTATCAGATAGGCCATCACACTACATACATGTTGTAGTAAGAGCTGGCGATACATTGCAATATATACAATCCTTGGCATCTACCAATAAATATGTTGTGCATTGAAAACTGAATGGATTGTTTAGGTAGGTCCTCACATTACATCGTTGTGATCAATCTAAAGGATATTGTACAGAGATAGTACAGGTACTATGGGACACTATACAAATGTATAACACCCCACAGACATAATCCGCAAAATAAAAACATTTTTTTCCCTCTCAAAAGAGTGCATCAATACACCACTCTTATATTTTTATTATATTATTATACAGGATTTATATAGCGCCAACAGTTAGCGCAGCGCTTTACAATATAAGGAGGACATACAGTTACAATACAAATCAAGACAAGATGGTAAGGTGGGCCCAGCCCGTGAGGGCTTACAACCTAAAAGGGAACCTTCCATCAGTGAACTCAAATAGAGCCCGAATCAAACACCCTTCTTCTATCCAATGAGAGTGCCTCAGTCATTAGTCAGAGGGATGGGATGGAAGGTGTGAAGGCACTAGTTCCAGAGTCAGAGGTGCTGAATTGTTATTAACAGAGAGCGCGGGGTCAGCGGCTTACAGAGAAGAGGCTTTCTGTTGAACTAATTTAGCAGACATCTAGGGCTGCAACTACGATTATTTTCCCAATCAGTTGGTTGGCCGATTATTTTTCGTTAAATCGGATTTAAAAAAATGAAAAATTAAATACCGTCCTTAATTTAAAATAAAATACACATATACAAACATAAAACATTGACGCAAAAGAGCTGTGAACGGTTCCTGATGCTGAGTGGTGTGTGTGCAGGATTGCTAGGGGTGCTGCCCCACTTCAGCCAGGGGAACTGGAAAACAAAAGAAAGAGAAGGGCGCACACCCTAGTGCAGATGATTTTTTTATTTTAAAAAGACACAAAAAAAACACAAAAATAGAGTGCAAGGATACTCACAATAGTAGGTCAAACAAAAGCATGTATAGGTGGTTTTGAGGATACATCAGTTTAAGGACTGCAATCAGCCTGTGTGCCACTGGAATGTGGCGTAGTTGACGCCACATTCCAGTGGCACATTCGTTGTTAATCAACGACGCCACATTCCAGTGGCACACAGGCTGATTGCAGTCCTTAAACTCATGTATGCTCAAAACCACCTATACATGCTTTTGTTTGACCTACCATTGTGAGTATCCTTGCACTCTATTTTTGTGTTTTTTTTGTGTCTTTTTAAAATAAAAAAATCATCTGCACTAGGGTGTGCGCCCTTCTCTTTCTTTTGTTTTCCACATATACAAACATGTTCCCTTCAGAATAAAACCACATGCACATTTTTTTGCAATCGCACCGCACTGTTCAATGTTTTATGTTTGTATATGTGTATTTTATTTTAAATTAAGGACGGTATTTAATTTTTCATTTTTTTAAATCCCTCTAGAGTCACCTTTCCACTTCCCTGGGGAATGACAGCTGCCTGCTGAGGCAGCTGAATGTAAACACAGTAGCTGGGCAGTGGCTGGGAGCAATAGCAGGCTGGGTAATAAACCCACCCACCGCCTGCTATCAATCAGCAGAGGAGGAACACAGAAGCACAGTGGTCTCTACTCCATGCTGGGTGCTGGCTGTAGCGCTCTGTGTCCCCCTATGACATAAGGGGACACGGCTCGCAGCAGCTCCCAGTGAGGCAGAGAACAGAGGAGCAGAGTGGTGGCTGGGGAGGGGATTCTACTAAACAAAATCAACTAATCGATAATGAGAATCGTTAAACAACAATTCTCGTTATTGATTATCATCAACTAAATCAATTAGTTGTTGAAGCCCTACAGACATCGCTGGATGCATGCTCTTAGGTAGCATCATTCCTTTAGAGAATAAAAAAGACAGACACATTAAATAATTAACTAGGCCTCCTTATTACTCACATAAACAGGTTGCTTTACTGTCTTCTTGCCAGAAGATATTAATGGCACTCCACCAAACCAGCGCATGTCTAGGAGAAAGAGCAATGCATATGGGGTAAATGTTCACTGTAGCCACCTTCGGCACACAAGCAGACTGGCACTTACATGAAGCACAAACACTAATTAAACAGGAAACCGAACTATGCTTGATCCCATAATAGAGGCTAATAATCTCTTAGCTGACCAATGTCAATCACTAATATTGTGATAATGATATACTAGTGGTGCTGTCATGTACACTAGAGGCACAGAATATCAATGTATGAAGTCAACATGGCACTTCCAAAAACTCATTATCGGAAGAAACCAATACAGTAATACCTCGTTTCACGAACGCTTCTGTTTGCGAACAATTCGTGTTCGCGAAAAGGAAGTTCAGCAAAATGTTGCTTCTGTTCGTGAACTCCAAATCGGGTGACGAACATGACCGTGTCCATCTTCCCCGCTCTGACATGTGACCGTGGCTTCCTCTAGTTGAGATTGCGGTCGCAGACAGACCTGGCAACACTTGCTCTGAAGCTTTTTTCTGTGTACTTTTTAGCACATACAGTACTGTACAGTATTATTCAATCTAGCATGGCTCCAAAGAAAATGCAGAGCAAGCATGGTGGTAAAAAGAAAGTGCAGAACGGTAATGAATTTACATATGGTTCAGAACGGATTAACCTATTTACATTGAACCCTATGGAAAAATGTGATTCTGTTCGAGACCAAAATCGGTTCGTGACCACACTCATAGGGGTCAGAACGGATTAACCTTATGGGAAAATTTGATTCGGTTTGCAACCAATTCGGTTCGCGACCAGAATTGTGGAACGAATTAAGTTCATGAACCGAGGTACCACTGTACAAAGTGTACCTCCACTACTCTCCTCAGCATTATATTTACATTTACAGTGCACGTGTAACACCCTGACCCATGCATACTAACATTTAGAAATTTAAGTAAGAGTCATACTTGCGTAATAGTTCAGGAAACTGTCTTCCCGACCGAATATTTCTGAGGGTTTAACGATAATGGCTCCCGGGAAGACCTCTCGCACTGCCTCATCTCCAATTGCCTGTTAACAAAGCATTTATTAAAATGAATGCCACAACAAGAAGCAATAAGCTATATATACAGACAACATAATCCATTGTGTATTCATTAAGCTGGCTTTAAAGTCCAACCCCAGCTTTACTGGCTTCCTTTGATTTCAAGTCTTCAGTCCCGTAGACATAAAAATGTTAGTTTTCACTGCCTAACCTTCCCCCTCCATTGTGTGTTACTAAATAGGACCTAGGCACCAATCAACTACCTGGACACGTAGCATTATCCATAAATATAGAATCAACGAGTTCACGTGTCGTTGAGAGATAGGGAGCTTTATTTACAGTCGAGTCACACACACAAAGACAAAAAATAACGGTAACAAACACCTTCAAACCGACCTTAGTCATGTGCAGGGCTTGAAAAATGTGATAGTGTCTCACCAGTCAGACAAAAATTTCACCAGTCAGCATGACCGGACTATAGCCTTGCAATTTATGTTAAAAAAGTTTGGGGACATATAGAGCTTTCTTTTGGAGGTATATAATCACCACGGGGGGTATTTTTTAAAACTATAATTAAAAGAGTACCATAAATGTAAAAAAAAAAAAAAAGTTTCCATACGTTATGTTATAAAACATTTATTCTTACCCATATTTTTAGTAAAACATAAAAGTCGGGGTCACGTTGGGTAAATAGACACCAAACAATTCAAGTCTTAAAATTGCGTGCGCCCGCAAAAAAACACCCATAGGCGACGATTAAATCGCTTTTACTGTTCATCAGTTTAGTGTTATCAGTGATTAAGGGAGAACTATGGGCTCAGTGTTTTTCCCCATAGTTCTCCTTAGGGTAACAGGAGGACACAAATTAGCATCCTCCCGTCACCCTAAGCTCAGTATACCGCGAGCTGCAGCTTGCGGTATACTGAGACGGCGCAGCTGAAGCGGATCCCGCCAATTATGTCTGGATCTGCCCAGCTGTGTGAGTGACAGCTGGCTCTGCCTATCTAGAGGCAGAGCCAGCTGTACCTGCCCCCTCCCCCATCTGTTCCGCCAGTCAGTGCTAGAGGATCGGAGTGGGGAGGGGGGAATCCAGCCCCTCCCCTGTCACGGCTCTGTGCCGTGACAGGATCGAGAAGTGAGCGAACGCCGGTATGTGTTCGCTCACTTCCCGATCTACTGAGCCGACCTGTGACAGTCTCATTGTCACAGATCGGCTAGAACTATGAGGTGAGTGAAAAGCACTCACCTCATAGTTCTCCTTTAGGCTGGGTTCCCACCTAGGCGTTGGAAATATGCGCTGAAATACGCCCAGGTGAGAACCATGCCCATAGGAAATAATGGGATTTCACTTGCAGGGCGTTTCACAGCGCATCGATCAGCGCTGTAAACCCGGCCTTAATGGCTCTAAAATTATTGCTCTCACTCCGTTTGCGGCGATATGCAACATGTGCGGCACGTAGGCGCACCGGGCGCATATATGCGTGTGTATATGGGGGGTGCGGACTTAAAAAAAATGTTTAAAAAAATTAATGTTATGCTCTAAGAAGCCAATTTACATGACAGGTCCTCTTTATGGAGACATCAGGTGTCTCCAAGACCCCTAATGTCACCTAAGGACCTCCAGCCAAGCTGATGAAGCAGAGATCGGCTTAATCAGCTTCTCTAGCTGGAGAGTGACACTGAATGCAGGAAGTTATGTAATATACATCACTTCCTGCATTCGGGGACTGAGAGGAGATCAAAGGGAGTTTGTGTACTGAACTCCCTTTGATCTCCTGTCACAGAGCCGTGCCGGTCCCGGGCCGCATCGGGCACAGCGGATCTCAAGACCGGCAACGGCAGTGACAGCTTCTGATACAAGTGATCGAGCGTCTCTCGAGACGCTCGATCGATTGACTGTAAAGCTCCCGGCCGCCCGTGTAATTACAACGGCTGGCAGGGAAGCGGCTCGTCGGGCGGATTTTTCGAGCCCTGGTCATGTGCTGCTCACCGATGAATACACTTCCTGGTTCTCAAAGCCAGCATTTCTCAACCTTTTTTCAGTTATGGCACCTTTTAAAAGTATGCAAAATCTCAAAGCACTCCAGTCTAAAATGTGAAAAAGTAAAATGTGAAAAACGACATGTGTAGCCCCCTCCAGAATCCAGATAGAAGTCTGGTTACTTCAGACTCCCCCTTCTCACACTAGGAGCACTCCTTCCCATCAC